AGATATTTAAGTTTAACCCTGTTAAGTGAAACAGAATTTCAAGTTAAGGAAGCAAAAAAACATTTATTGGGGGAGTGAAAGAAAATTTGTAAACAATGATATCCTGGGTCTTAAAATGCTTTTTGAATGAGTTTAAAAATATGCTGTAGTCAAAGGCAAGGTTTTATTTGCTTAATTTGTGTTTCAATTCCTTCAAAAAGCAGCAAGTTACAATTTTGCTGCTTTTATCTTTATTCCTGTGTTAATGAAGCTATAGCCAAAAGGCCTCAGAAAATTCAAGTTATAAATGTTCAAGGGGAAATCCTTTTAGCTAGAGTTGGTTTTAATGCATTATTTCTAATGGAATTTAGCAAAGAACTTGAAAAAAGTTTGACATAGGAAGGTATTCAGGCAGGTTTGAGTTGCCTAGTTTCATCTGCTTTTAGAAACGTCCACTTTTGTTTGAGAAATGTCAATGTCTTTTTGGCCCATCAAAAATCAAAGACTGAGTTAAATTTTCATTTTAATGTATAATACAAAGGTTAGAATGGATACAGGACTAAGGAAGTCACACACATAGAGGTTAAAACTCATCTGTAAGCAAATAAAAGTGGCTGTGAATTCTGAAAGTAAATTTTACTTAAGGTATATGGTACCCTAAAAAAGTGAAAATTTCCTCTTACAAAATTATGAATAATAAAGAAATGCAGTCATGGCTGTTCTAAGTAAAAAAAAAAAAAACTGTTTGATAATGATGATGAAATTCTGTAATGGCTATAATCAGACAAGTGATGAATTACACAGGTTTCAATGTCTATATAACCAGATGGTACAGTTTGACCTTTTCAATTCATACCCTTCCTATTTTCAAAATCGACTCAAATTTGCGTTTCTAGGGAATCATGGTAATCCCTGACTAATTCCCTCAATTCCAAAAGACAATTAAAAATTTGCCTGACTGGAAATTATCTTTTGTATGTACTATATTTTGACATGGAATTTAGTTTATTTAATGTAAGTGTTTCCCATGATGGTGAGCGGAAGAATGTCGTGGTGCTGGTGTAGGGTTAGCGGGTAACGGATCCTGTTTCAATGGGAGAGTCAAACAGGCGCACAAAAGTGAACCCAGTCCCAGACAGACAGGGTTTCATCCGTTTGCCTCGCGGGTACCCCGACGCCTGGCATCATCACATTATTGTTCCATACCCTCATCTTGGAACTTTTTTTTCTCTTTATTTGCCTGTAGTTCTCGAAAACGTTCGGAAAGATAATTTTAATACATTTTTGACCTCACATGCATTGGACTTGACAATTTCTCATTTTTCACCGATTAATTACCGGAAATTCCATCCAAATTTTGTATCATTTTCCTCGGAAGGGTTTCGAATTATTCTGAAAAAAATATCCTGCCGAATATTGTTGAAAGTGCCTTTTTTCAACCAATTGCGAACAGTCAGAAGCCAAAAGAAATATTTCCCCTTTCAAAATTGTATTCCAGGCTTTTCAATAAATATTCTCCTGATGAAATATTTTAGCATGATACCGTATTGAGAAATTTGAGAGTCTCGAGGCTCTCTTTTTCTTCCAAAATTATGAAATATTTCGTCGAAAAACCATCGACTTTAACGATCAAAGAACTTGCAGAAAGGGAAAAAGTCCGAGAAACTCCAAAAGAATATTTCATGTCAACCTAATTTTTATTTGAAATCAAAATTATTTGAAATAAAAATTTAAAATAAAAATTGAAATTAAAATTGATAAAAAACTCGTATTCGCTAAAACATCAAACGCTTTATTTTGACAAAATAATGTTTTATTGCTAGAATTTTTCTCTTATATTTTCTGCTCCAGCACCGGGTTACTGTAAATCTGATTGGCAGCATGAGAAAATGATGAAAAACGTTTTTAAAATGAAGTTGAACAAATCCCTGCTAAAATTATTATTTCATCAAAAACAATTTAGAGTAATAATCTTGTTGTTTGAGAAAAAAAAATGAAGCTTTATAATAAGGGAAGAATGAGTGAAATCCTGTTTCCCCGTATTCCAAATAAATTTGAATGCAATTAAAAATACCATTTTTATGCTTGAAATTTTTAAATAAAATAAACGATGGCGTCTTGAGCTAAAATACAGTATTCTATTAAATTCAGTCGGGAAATATTCAACACCAGGAAAAAAAAAATTGTATATGATGAATGAGGCAACACAAAGATCGGGAATGACATCTGGTGAGAAACCCATTGTAACGGTGACAAAGAACTAAATACGGAAGGAAGGAAGGCAGGAAGGGAAACCCAGCTTCCGGATCCCTGGAGCTGGAGTATCGATCCCCGGGTTTCGGGGTGAGTGTCCCCGAAATGCGTATATGGAGAACGCGGGCCCTTGGAGGGATCCCCCTTTTCCCACATCTTTTCTTTCTTTTGCGTAATTGACAAGGAAGATCCCTTCTCTCGGTGCTCGGGGATCCCTTCCCTTTACATATATATATATATATATATATATATATATACGGTATATGCAATGTATTTTCTACATTATTTATATACGAGATAAATTGTCCGGAAATCGTTCCGGCGTTATTTTTTTAATAAATAGTTTGAGACGGTTTGACTAAAAGCAAAAAAAAATTCACAGAAAAATAATTTCAGTATTCCTTCTTGAAATTCAGGATTGGATGAAAGAAAATTCCCTCATCAATAATTAGAGGCCAGTATTTTTTCTTACTTGCTCATTTTATTTCTTCAGAGTTTTTCAATACTGTAAATTTAAATTTTCTCTGCAATGTAATTTTTAGTAAATTAAAAATTGTGGGAAAATTATTTTTCCTCTGCGAAATTTTCAGAAAATAAACCAGGTTGCGATATTTTCAACAAAAAATCATAATCAAAGCGAACATTTTTCTCAATCGCTATATAGGTTCCCTAAATTGAGGACGAGAAAATTTAAAATAATTTGCTTGAGTTATAGCATATTCAATGCACGCTTTTCACCTAAATAAACGCACAAAAAATTCGCAGCGAGGATTCGTTCTTGAAATACTGGATGAAAGAAAATTTTTCCATAGATGAAAGGAGGGACGATCGGTACTTTTGTTTTCATTACCTTACTTCATTATAATGGCGCCGAGGTTTAGAATATATTCAAATTTTCTAATCAATGTCATTTTTCAATAAAATCATCCTTTTTTGTATTGTTGAAAGAGTAATTGTACTCACCGATATTTTTGGAAAATAAACCGAGTTATGATTTTCCATGGAAAAAATAATCATCGAAGTGAAGAGTTTTAATCGATGGGTTCTCTGAATTGAAGATGAGGAAATTCAAAAATTCAATTTAGTCATGAAATGTTTAACGCATACTTTTCATTTAATAAACGAAAAAAAAACGAATTCGCGGCAATAATTAATTGTTGAAATACTGGAAGACAGGAAATTTATCCACCGATAAACGGAGGGACCGGTATTTTTTTGTTTGCATACTTATACTTAATGAATGGTGCGAAGATTTAAAATGTATTCAAATTTTCAATTCAATACAATTTTCTGCAATGAAAGACAGCTTTTTCCGTATTGTGGAAATAAGAGTACTTTTTCTCAACGATATTTTCGGAGAACAAAGAAAAGGTTCTGATTTTTCTTGGCAAGGAAAAAAAATATAAGTAGAGTAAACAGTTTCGATCGCTGGGTTCCTTAATTTGGGGTATCGATCCCCGGGTTTTTTGGGGTGTGTGTGCGTGTGTCCCTGAAATGCGTGTGTGGAGAACGCGGGTCCTTCGAGGGATCCCCTCTTTCCCATCTCTTCTTTCTTTAGTGTAAATGACCAGGAAGATCCCTTCTCTCGGGCACGGGGATCCCTTTCCTTTATATATATACGATATATATGTGCATGCAGTATATATGAGATACACGTCCTTGGGATATGTGTGTGTGTGTGTATTTTCTCTGTCACGGAGGAATAATGTCTGGTCTTCCAGCGTATTTATGCTGTACAAAGTAATTCGGTTTTTTTTCTCTCTTTCTTTTAGCTGTCTGATCTCGGGGAAAAAATATGTTGAACAATATTGCAAGAAGCTGGCATAGTACTGACTTGATGGGAATTTATTATGTACAAGTACAAAGTAGTCTTTGTTTGATCGATTGCCATGGATCCTGAGGCATTCGACCTTGAGATGGGGTCAATATTCAAGGTCGACCTCTTTGAATTAATAATATTCAGTCAATCATGTGTTTTTTTTTCTTCTTTTCAATCTTCAGATTGCGATGACAATTATCATTATAAAATACTACACAAGATTATTGAATCAGGAATGATGTTGTTTCTTGGTCCTTCTTCATTTTAGGCCTTGTGTAGAAAATGAAAATTTAAAGGCAAGCTAATTTGTAATTGAAGCACCCAGATTTGCTACCCACAATCATTCTTAAATTATTAAGGAATACTGTATATATATATATGTGGTGCAGGTGATACCTCACAATTTGACTGCTTATAATTTGACAGCTGAATTTGCAGGGAGGTTGACTTGAAATTTGACCTCTTCCACAGAATTGGACCTGCTTTGGCAATTTGTATGCATTTTTGTGCTCATATTTCTCCAGTTTACAAAGTGTCTTGCAGTTTGACCACTTTGCAATTTGACCCTAGTTTGGCAATGGATTAAGGTTGCAATGAATACAATTGATGATGAAAATTGAAAGCGCTTGCATAAAAAAAAAGTTACGATGAGTTATGATGAGCTTAAAACTCAGCTAAAACATGTGACCAGTTTCAAGCATATAATTGTGGAAAAATTTTTAAAATCTTGAAGATGATGTCTGGGTGCAGCTGGGCAACCTGAAGGCCACAAGTGGCACATTGACCACAAGTTCAAGCAAAAAATTAAAAAATTTATGTATATTTTGCAACATTGGGGCACTAACATAGTACAGTGAAAAACAGTGCAATGTTATGTCTGTAATGTCATACAGCAATCCTTTTTTTCAAATATAATGCACAGTGGTGTGACTGGGCCACACAACGGGGCATGCCCTCTTCCGTGTCTGGTCAGCCGCCGGTCGGTCAATTGACGGTCGCGCACCTGCCAGTCGTCAAGCGCTGGTCGGTCCAACCGTCAGCCAGGGCAGTTCTTGGCCTCCCCAATCCCCAGCCCACCAAACTGCGGTTTGGTCACCCGATTGTCGGGGCACCCAAACAATCGGGTGACAAGAATCATGCTGATTTTTTTTTCAGAATTCAGTGAGCAGAATGGTATCCTACCACAGATTTTTTTCTTCAAAATTTCAGCAATGTTAGGTTAGGTTAGGATATGTTAGGTTAGGTTAGGATATGTTAGGTTAGGTTAGGTTAGGATATGTTAGGTTGGGTTTGATAAGTTTTTTTCTTTTTGTAAAAATTTTTATAAGATGAAATTTTGTAACAAAAAATAATCTATGGTAGGATACCATTCTGCTTACCAAATTCTAGAAAGAATCAGCATGATTCTTCTCACCAAATTGTTCCGGTGCCCCAACAATTGGGTGACCGAACCGCGGTTTGGTGGACTGGGGATTGGCGAGGCCAAGAACTGCCCTGGCTGGCGGTTGGACCGACCGGCGCTTGACGACCGGCGGGTGCGCGACCGTCAATTGACCGACTGGCGGATGACCCGGTACCATTTGCCTGACCCCCATGCATTTTTTACATTTTTTTATTCAATTAAACAACGACATTTAATTAGGATTGACCTGTATTTCNTAGTATTTCTAAGAATGATGAAATGGGGTAAAAAGGGGGACTAAAGGAAGGTGAGTTTTTGCTACTGGAATCTACCTATAATAAGACACCTTATATACATACGCACACACACACACACACACACACACACACACACACACACATGCATGGGGTCGACGGATAAATTGACGTCAGTAATGCCGTGGGCGGGGGTTATATTTGCACACCCTTCACCCAGTGTGTGTGTCTGTGGATTCATCAGTCAGCACTTTGCACCAAATACATTTTGCACTTATATCCATACTCTAACCATGTATTCGCCGCATTTCTTTTGTGCTTTTCATAATCACCCAAGTAAATTGCGGATGGTCTCAAGGAAGTCAAGCTGGTGACATTTACAGTCATTTGTGAGAAAATGGAAACGTTAGAAATTTGTTGTATAGAGAATTTCGTTATTGAGAACCCCTATCTATCGGGTGGACTATTTTTACGACTATTTTTTGAGTATAACGATTATTTTTTGTCCCAAAGGATTATCTCATCCCCAAGCTACAAGGAAATTTTTCTTTCCACAAGGAATTCTCTCTTACAAGGAAATTCTCTCCAATAAAAGAATCTCACTTGAAAAAAATTCTCTTCTTAAAAAAATTTTGTTTGGGCACCTTTGAATTTCGTTGTACAGTCGACTCTCTTGTTAGGAACAGATTTGAAGTACTGTATAGTGAAATCTTTTGGATTTGAGATCTCTTTTGAAATAAAATCAAACAACAATCAGCTGGGTGCTTTACACCCTAGTGTAAGGTTGGTATGTTTGGGATGGAAATACAAGTTTTTTGACAAACAGCAAATAAGCAAGTATAGCAGTCTTTCATGTGAGACCAACCAAGAACAACTGACAATGGAACATGCAGTCACTTTGGTATTTAAACTCTTTCATTTTGCGAAATTTTGTCCCTGAACAGAATTATCCCTTTTTGCAGGATTTCCCCAAGAATTTGATATCTTGTGGGAACTCAAGGTCAAACTTAGTCTCACCGGATTCCAGACATGTAAAATAATGTTTCAGTGGCGCCATGCTAATCTGTCTAGAATTCTGTCATCTTATTTCTAACAAGCTGGGGGTGCCCAGCCACACCTGGGCATTGGACAGATTTTAAATGTTAAAATTTTGATCAGATCACACATGAGAGGAATAATGTCTGGTCTTCCAGCGTATTTATGCTGTACAAAGTAATTCGGTTTTTTTTCTCTCTTTCTTTTAGCTGTCTGATCTCGGGGAAAAAATATGTTGAACAATATTGCAAGAAGCTGGCAAAGTACTGACTTGATGGGAATTTATTATGTACAAGTACAAAGTAGTCTTTGTTTGATCGATTGCCGGGGATCCTGAGGCATTCGACCTTGAAAGGGGGTCAATATTCAAGGCCGACCTCTTTGAATTGATAATATCCAGTCAATCATGTGTTTTTTTCTTCTTTTAAATCTTCAGATTGCGATGACAATTATCATTATAAAATACTACACAAGATTATTGATTAGGGATTGATGTCATTTCATGGTTCTTCTTCATTTTAGGCCTTGTGTAGAAAACCAAAATTTCAAGGCAAGCTAATTTGTAATTGAAGTACCCAGATTTGCTACAATATATGCTACCCACAATCATTCTTAGATTATTAAGGGATATATATATATATATGTGGTGCAGGTGATACCTTAAAATTTGACTGCCTATAATTTGACAGCTGAATTTGCAGGGAAGTTGACTTGAAATTTGACCTCTTCCACAGAATTGGACCTGCTTTGGCAATTTGTATGCATTTTTGTGCTCATATTTCTCCAGTTTACAAAGTGTCTTGCAGTTTGACCACTTTGCAATTTGACCCTAGTTTGGCAATGGATTAAGGTTGCAATGAATACAATTGATGATGAAAATTGAAAGCGCTTGCATAAAAAAAAAGTTATGATGNCTCCAGTTTACAAAGTGTCTTGCAGTTTGACCACTTTGCAATTTGACCCTAGTTTGGCAATGGATTAAGGTTGCAATGAATACAATTGATGATGAAAATTGAAAGCGCTTGCATAAAAAAAAAGTTATGATGAGTTATGATGAGCTTAAAACTCAGCTAAAACATGTGACCAGTTTCAAGCATATAATTGTGGAAAATTTTATAAAATCTTGAAGATGATGCCTGGGTGAAGCTGGGCAACCTCAAGGCCACAAGTGGCACATTGACCACAAGTTCAAGCAAAAAATTAAAAAAAAAATTATGTATATTTTGCAACATTGGGGCACTAACATAGTACAGTGAAAAACAGTGCAATGTTATGTCTGTAATGTCATACAGCAATCCTTTTTTCAAATATGATGCACAGTGGTGTGACTGGGCCACACAACGGGGCATGCCCTCTTCTATGTGTAATCTGATAGAAATTTTCAAATCTCAAATTTCTCCAGTGCCCGGGTGTGGCTGGGCACCCTCTTGCTGATGATGACAGGGAAGGCAGGGATATTTAACGTCTGCAGTGGGAGGAACGACCAGTAGGATCCTACAGGGGTCTGTGGGGGAATAATAAGGATGTCGTGTAACATGTGTCTGTGGCCTTTTGCACCTTGAATTAATTTGCCTACTTGAAAACACATCAAATAACATTAAGTTGTCAGGATGGCCGAGTGGTCTAAGGTGCTGCATTCAGGTCACTGTGTGGTTCTGCAGGTGTGGGTCCGAATCCCACTTCTGCAATTGTTTTTTCATTTTTTTTGTCCGCACTGCGGACGCTCTACTACTTGTTTTAAATTGAAAATTTTCAAATGGAAAAAAGTTTCCTTCCAAAAAGTGGAGAAAATCTTTTCCTGTGATGTCACTTGTCCAGGTGTGGCTGGGCCTCTCCCCTAGTTAAAATATAAAATTAATTATCATAAAGATTCTTACTACTTTACCCCATTTTTCCCCCTGATTTCCTTCCACTCAAAAACGATGACCTTAGATGGATATTATTCTGTGGAATATATGTATGCGTGTGTGTGTGTGTGTGTGTGTGTTGCATGGGGTCGACGGATAAATTGACGTCAATAACGCCGTGGGCGGGGGTTATATTTGCACACCCTTCACCCAGTGTGTGTGTCTGTGGATTCATCAGTCAGCACTTTGCACCGAATACATTTTGCACTTTTACCCATACTCTAACCATTTATTCGCCGCATTTCTTTTGTGCTTTTCATAATCACCCAAGTAAATTGCGGATGGTCTCAAGGAAGTCAAGCTGGTGACATTTACAGTCATTTGTGAGAAAATGGAAACGTTAGAAATTTGTTGTAGAGAGAATTTCGTTATTGAGAACCCCTATACATTGGGTGGACTATTTTTACAACTATTTTCTAAGTATAACGATTATTTTATGTCCCAAAGGATTATCTCATCCCCAAGCTACAAGGAAATTTCTTTCCACAAGGAATTCTCTCTTACAAGGAAATTCTCTCCAATAAAAGAATCTCACTTGAAAAAAATTCTCTTCTTAAAAAAAATTTTTTTGGGCCCCTTTGAATTTCGTTGTACAGTGGACTCTCTCCCTACAACGAATATCTCTCTATAACGTATGTTTTTTGGTTCAATATCCGTAGGGTTCTGTGTACCCATGTTGAAGGGAATTCTCTGCAACGAAATTCTGTCTACAAAGATTTTTTCTGAACCCCTGAATTTCGTTGTAAATAAGAGAGCTCACATGTGTCATGAGATACCCCTATTTTACCTTGGAAAAAAAAAATTTGTTGCACAGAGAATATCATTGTAAAGACAAGATCGCTTATTTACAGGAGAGAGTCTACTGCCTGTAGTACAAGTTTTTTTTTATAATTTTGTGAATATGGATTGAATCGGTTTTATATTACGCAACCCTCGCATTTTCAAAGTCGTTGCAAAACTATTAATTGAATCATTTCCGCGAAATTTCGAGGTCAAATGGCGGATGGTATTTGATGTTTTTACTTGAACGAAAACAGGTACCGCCCAAGTCTGTGTTTTCTTTTGTTCTAAATAGATGTCGCCTAAATGTAATCGCTTAACACTATATTCCTCAAAAAAGAAGGCCTCATTCCGTCGTTTTTTTTTTCAATCATCAATGTCGTATGCGGGGGAAATTTGCAGAAATGTTGGCCTTGAATCTTTTTGTTTCATTATCTGTTAAATGTAGTTGAAAAAGTTTTATAAATAGTGCCTGGTTTAGGTTCTTTTATACGATCGTAGCAGTCAGCAAATCTGTCGAAAAACTGTTCATTTAAACGTCTTCAAACGAAGAGGCATAATTTAATTTGATATTGCATTTTCATTTTCAAAGAACGTCGTCGAGCCCGTATTTTATCCTCTACCATTTAATAGATGTCGTTCTATTATCATCAATAAAATTCTGGGCACGCATACATTAAAAACAAACCATGTCAACTCAGTTCAGTTTCGAACGGGTAGCGTTTATTATTGGCGCTGATATTCTGCATGTTTCTGGATCGAGCGACACCTGTGGGCCATTTATACAAGCGCGCGGTTGGGGAATTCTGGTATTGTACTAGAGTTCCTTTCCTGAACGGATGCTCTCAAAATCACCAGAATGGGTTCATTTTCGCAGACTTTTATGCAACTTTACTTGGGGTATTTATGTGTAAAGGGGGATCCTGTTTTAGAAAAGTTTGAAACTGAAATTTAACCCACTTTCAAGTATCCAATCTATGTGAAATTCTCCACTCTGGTCAAACATTGATAACAGTGCAATGTATCAGAATTTTTGGATCACCAGATTTTGTAAAATTACTTACAGGGTTTCACGTGTCTTGGGTGCAGGTGCACCGAAATGGAAGAATAGTATGATAATTATGTTTAGTACTGTATATAATTATTCTCATCTCTTCTTAGGTGTTATTATATTAACACCTATTATTATCTCTTCAATGTGCAAAGATGTTCTTTGCACAATATCAGGAAATTATATTATAATTTACTCCAATAAAATCTTTTTGGTGGATTTTGCAAGCCATTTATTGGGCACAGTCGCATTCAGTAAATCTTTTGTTTTTTTGCAAGCCATTTATTGGGCTATTTAGTAAATCTTTTTTAATTTTGCAGGCCATTTATTGGGCTCAGTCTCATTAAGTAAATCTTTTTTGATTTTGCAAGTCATTTATTGGGCACAGTCTCATTCAGTAAATCTTTTTTTAATTTTGCAGGCCATTTATTGGGCTCAGTCTCATTCAGTAAATTTTTTTTTCAATTTTGCAAGCCATTTATTGGGCTAAGTTTCATTCCGAAAATTTTTTTTGGTGAATTTTGCAAGCCATTTATTGGGCACAGTCTCATAAAGTGAATATTTTTTGGTGAATTTTGCAAGCCAATTTATTGGACACAGTCTCATTCAGTGAATCTTTTTTATTTTCTTTGGACTTTGCAAGCCATTTATTGGGCACAGTCTCATTCAGTAAATATTTTTTCTTTTGTGGATTTTGCAGGCCATTTATTGGGCACAGCGGAAGAAGAACTCTCGTCGCTCGTCGCGTCGTCGACGACCTCGGCGGCGGACTCGGTCGCCGACCAGTCCCCGTCGTCGTCGCCGGCGCCTCTAGGACCGCCATTGTCTCTCATCCGCGTCCGCCACTTGCACGAGTCGGACCAGCATCCGGGTTCCACGTCATCGCCGACCCCGTCCCCGCCGATAGGCGCCGTTTCTGCGTCGATCCCCGCGTCGTCGTCGTCGTCTTCTTCTTCTTCGGCGGCAGCGGCGGCGGCGGCGGCAGCAGCTGCGACAGCGGCGTCGCCGGACGACGGGCGCTGGCGCGGGTCGGCGGCGGCGCATTCGACCACCTCCGAGGACTCGTGGTCGACCCGGGCGGCGCCGACGCCGCCGTCCGCGTCGCCGGTGCGTCGCGGCAGCAACGCCGAGTCCGAGGCGGACACCAGCACCACCAACACCACCTCCACCACCGCCATGTTTCCCGCGGGACAACCGCCCCACCAGGGCCACCTGGACGCCGCACAGGCGCATCATCAAAGGTATGTATTTTTTGGCTATTTTTATTTTATTTTTTGCCGGGGTGCATAGACGTCTCGGTTTATGCACTTGAAGCCCACTGCTGTGGATTAAATTCCAAAAAAAAAAGGGGATATTTGTAATGGTGGCTTAACCAAGATGTAGATTGTAGAGAGGAGGACAGCAACACACACACACACACAGGTTGATTTTGAAGCAGAACTTTTCCAAATCATCTCAAGAGTTAACACTTTCCTTTGACGTGGAAAAATGGTTCTTTGTTGACATTTGTAAGCTCAAAAAATAACTGTTGCTGCAAATTTTTGTGCTGTGGATTAACTTCCAAAAAAAGGGATAATTGTAACGGTGGCTTAACCAAGATGCAGATTGTAGAGATGAGGACAGCAACACACACACACAGGTAGATTTTGAAGCAGAACGTTTCCAAATCCTCTCAAGAGTTAACACTTTCCTGTGACGTGGAAATATTGGTTTTTTGTTGACATTTTTAGGCTCAAAAAATAACTGTCAGCCTTCTAGTAACATCAGTAAAGTTTATTATAGCTCTGCTCTTTGATGCATTGCTAGTGGGACTATATGTTTGTTCACAGTCAAATTGAGAATAACTCTGAACCCTCTTGAACTCGAATTTTCTGAGTGTAATTTTTGCCAATTGTCTGTTATTTAATCCCTGTCTAACAGACCTCCTGCCAAAGGGATTTTTGCCTTCCAGGCTGCCTCTGGAGACAGTCTTTCCTCCCATATAACAGACAAAATCAGCGTGACAGACTTCTGTTGTTTTAAAATTAATGGTGAATTGTGAAATATTTTAATTTGTAATACCGTACTGTACTTAAATTTGCGTAACAGACTTTTCACATAACAGACTTTTCACATAACAGACTTTTCACATAACAGACTTTTCACATAACATACTTTTCACATAACATACTTTTCACATAACATACTTTTCACATAACATACTTTTCACATAACATACTTTTCACATAACATACTTTTCACATAACAGACTTTTCACATAACATACTTTTCACATAACATACTTTTCACATAACAGACTTTTCACATAACAGACTTTTCACATAACATACTTTTCACATAACAGACTAGTCTAATGCACAAATTAAGTCTGTTGTGTGGGGTTCAACTGTATATTGTTGAGCCTAAGTCAAACCACGCTGAGTCAAATATTTGAACTGTGCTATAATAAGTTTGAAAATTGCAAATTTGAAATTATTCAATGTGAAATTAATATAATCATGAAAAATTCATGCTCTTGAAATTTTGAATTCTCCAAATTATAAAAGGCAGAAAATATGAAAGTAAACTCATCGATTCTATTTTCCTCAGTTTTTGGAAAAATTGCTAACTTTGAAATACAATTTTAAAGTTCTATAATAGCTTTTCACTGGTCAGATGATGGGAAAACTCTGAAGAAAAAAACAGGAAAAAAATCAGACTGTTTTTTCAAAATTATGATACTGGTAATTTTATTCAATGGAAATTTTTCAATTTTTGCAAATATAAATACATGAGCTCAATTTGTTCAAGAGACATGAAAATTTAAAACAGTAGAATTTTTCAATTTTTCTGGAAATGTCACAAAGAAGACAATAAAATAACAATAAAACAATAGGCACCCAAAGAAAATAATGAAATAAAATTGCGCATTGCTTTGCTGATTAAAACAGTTTTTTTCAGATGATGGAAAAAACTCTGAAGAAAAAAAATCAAAAAAATTAGCCTGTTTTTTTATTTTTATTATATTGCTGGTAATTTTATCCAATGAAAATTTTTCAATTTTTGCAAATATAAAGACAGTATCTCAATTTGTTTAAGAGACATCAAAATTTTAAAAAGTAGAATTTTTCAATTTTTCTGGAAATGTAGGAAAATTTTGTGTGTCTTGAGATACAATCCTGACGTGGGGGAAGACGTTTGTAGTTTCAAGTGTCCCCGAGTCAAATCGTCCGTATGTCGGGGTCCCACTTACCCTCTTTTTTTTTTTTTTTTTTTTTTTTTTACATGGCTGTGAAGTTCTCTTGCTCTTTTTTTTTTTTTTTTTTTTTTTTGAGGACACACTAATTGTGCTTGGCAGTTTCCTTTTGAACAGCACTGGCCACCAAGTCGTGTACGGCCACCACCACATGCTGCACCCGCAAGCACCACCCGGCGGCGGCGGCGTTGGTGTCGCCGGCGCCGGACAACACCGCCTACCATCCCCAGTGCCGGGCTACCCGTCCCCACACAGCCAGGCGACGTCACTGGCCGACAACGCCGTCAGTGGCGGCCTGTCCACGTGGTTCCTTCCGCCGCCCTCATCGTTCCTCATCGGCGGTGGCGTCGATGCTGGCGGCAGTATGGCGCCGCAGGCCTCGTCCGTGCCGCCACCGCAGCCGCCGCCACCGACATCATCATCATCTGCTGCTGCAGCACAACAACAACAACAGCAGCAGCAGCAGCAGCAACAACAGCAGCAACAACAGCAACAACAACAACAGCATCATCACCATCAGCACCAGCAGTTGTACCAGCACCACGTGGTTCCGACGTCGACGGGTTTGTTGGGCAATCCGAGTCCCGGTGGTTACGATGCCCAGTTGTACCAATTCGGGTCTGGGTCCTCGTCGCCATTGGTGGCGTCCACGCCGGTGTTCGACACCTCGGGGTTCGGCATGAAGCAGCACGGGTATTGCGGCTCTGCTCCAGCCGGCGGGCAAGGTTGGTATCCTCAGGGCGTGGGATGTGAGTTTATTAAATACTGTACAATATCGCAATGCATTCCGAAATTAATAATAATTATTATCATAATTTTCAAAAAAAATATTCCTACTGCAAAAGAGTGACTCACTGCAATGAAAATTGTTTACCACAATAATGGTTTGAATTTTAATACATTTTACTTCAAACTTTGGAATTTTTTCTCGGAGCATCTTTAAAAACAAAGATGCTTTAATAACAAAGATTTGCAAAGCAAAAATTTCTAGAGCAAAAAAGTGACTCACTGCAATAACAATTGTTTGCCAGAAAAAATGGCTTGAATGTGTAGATTAATAAGAATAAAAATTTTCAAAGCAAAAATTCCTACCGCCAAAGAGTGACTCATGCAATGAACATTGTTTGCCACAAAAAAATGGCTTGAATATGTGTAATAATTATAATAAAAATTTGCAAGACAAAAATTCCTACCGCCAAAGAGTGACTCACTGCAATGAAAATTGTTTGCCACAAGAAATGGCTTGAATTTTAATAAATTTTACTTCAAACTTAGGAATTTTTTTCTCGGAACATATGTAAAAACAAAGATGCTTAAAAAATAATGATTTGCAAAGCAAAAATTCCTAGAGCGAAAAAGTGACTCACTGCAATGAAAATTGTTTGCCACAAGAAATGGCTTGAATTTTAATAAATTTTACTTCAAACTTGGGAATTTTTCTCGGAGCATTTTTGAAAACAAGGATGCTTTAAAAATAAAGATTTGCAAAGCAAAAATTCCTGTAGCAAAAAAAAGGGAATCACTGCAATGAAAATTGTTTGCCACAAAAAATGGCTTGAATTGTAAATTTTTTCAAACTTTGGAATATTTTCTCGGAGCATTTTTAAAAACAAAGATGCTTTAAAAACAAAGATTTGCAAAGCAAAAATTCCTAGAGCAAATAAGTGACTCACTGCAATGAAAATTGTTTGCTACGAAAAATGACTTGAATTGTATTAAATTTTACTTCAAAATTCGAAAATTTCTCTACGAACTGTTGTTTGTGGAGAAACAAATCTTGAAAAGATTGGAAAATGTATATCTTTTTTCCTTTCACCTTTGGTAGAAATTTAGTTTTCTGAGAAGATTGCTCTTCTTGTAGCTTTTATTTATTCTCGGACTATCAAACGAATGCGAAAGCAGAGAAAATGTCTGGAATTTCTCCTCTATCTCTCTCTCTCTCTCTTTTTAAATTATATTAAAAGGGAAAATCAATGTATGATTAGTTAATGTTGTTTTTCTTTTCCTTTCATATAGGGTGTCCTTCGGGCCAGTGGGGAGCAGGCCTGGTGGCGGAATACGCAGTGGCGGCAGCGGGGCAAAGCGTGCCGGTGGCGGTGCATCCGCTGGTGGTGCCCAAGCAAGAGCCGAGTTACGCTTCGTCGCCCGTCACGGCGGCGGCCGGTGGCACCGGTGCCGGCAACGTCGGCGGCGGCGGTGGTGGCCCCGCGGCGCCCGGCGAATACTCGTCCGTGCATCTAGCAGAGTACAACCAGTCCACGAGCAAGGTGACGACCATCTCGTCATTTTTCTTCTTTTCAACCGGCAAAAAAAAATAAAAATATAATTGTGTTTCTTTGTGCATGGGAATTTAATCCTGAAAATTCATTTCGCTTGTATGCGGTTCATCGGATGAAAACCGATTTATTTAATAAAATTTTGTTTTGTTTTAAAAATCAGAAATTCTGTTATTGATTTATATACTCGGGAAGTCCGTGAAAAATACGCTTGCTTGAGAAGACATCATTTTAACTTGACTTAATTTTTTTATTATTTTGCGAGAATTTATCTTCTTCAAAAATGTTTGTTGATACGCTTCAGAATATCAAATTAATGCCTGAAAATTTTTTTATGGAAAAAAACGAAAGACAATTTTGACGGGGAAAGTCCATGAAGATGTGCTAAAATTGGAATAATTCAGGAGTTGTTTGGAAAATTTAATCTTTTCTCCTTCTATAAATTTCATCGGAAAGTACACTTTTTTTTCCTAAACATCATTCCTTGAAAAAAAAAGAAATGAATGTGAAAGAAAACTTGAATGTTGTATCATATGCATATATATTCCTTGTCAAATACTGTATGTATGTCTTTTTTTTTTTCTTCCTCATCGTGTCTCCCCCGTTCCGCCTTGAACCCAAAAAGCAGGGCCACGAGATCCTGAGCCAGGCGTACCAGCAGGGCTCCGGCATCCGCCTAGTCCCCGTCAAGTCCCGCAAGTACCCGAACCGGCCCTCCAAGACCCCCGTCCACGAGCGGCCCTACGCGTGTCCCGTCGACGGCTGCGACCGTCGCTTCTCCCGCTCCGACGAACTCACTCGTCACATCCGCATCCACACGGGCCAGAAGCCGTTCCAGTGTCGCATTTGCATGCGGTCCTTTTCCCGCTCCGACCACTTGACGACCCACATCCGGACCCACACCGGGGAGAAGCCCTTTTCCTGCGACATTTGCGGTCGCAAGTTCGCGCGGTCCGACGAGAAGAAGCGACACGCCAAGGTGCACACGAGACAGCGAGGTGCGCGGCATCGGGACCGAGACAGGGACGCCACTGCTGGTGCGGGTGCTGGAGGCCGCGGAGAACGGGGACGCAACGGCGCCGCGGCGGCGGCAGCAGCAGCGGCGGCGGCGGCTGCTGCTGCTCAGTGACCTTTTGATGCTGCTGTACTTGTATGTGGTTAGCAGCTAGCGACACCTGGTGGATCATATGGGAGTAAGCCCCGCCTGCGAATCTGCACACGATTCTCCACTTTTCCGGTCTTGTTTTTTTAAAATTCTTCTGATGGAATTTTGAGAAAATTGACGAATTTTTTTATGGCAGGACAGATAAATGTTCCAGTTTGATAAATTTAGGATCTTTGAAAAATAAAGGCACCATATCTTGGGTGAAGAGGCAGTATAATATCATGTGTATCTTCAAGAGCTGTGACGAACCTAATTAACAAAGCAATATCCATCTCCTCGTCAATTACTTGAGAAAAACCCAGTGCGGAAATATTAGAATTTTCAAGACAGGGAAAAAAAACGGTCCAGTTTTATTTTGAGCAAAATGTAGATAAATTTAAGATTTTTTTAAATAAAGGCACCTAGGTATTGAATGAAATATTACTTGCTGTATATCTTCAAGTGAAGAACCTGATGGAAATTTTCTTCCTCTCGAAAAATATTCTCATAATAGAATAATCTTGCCCCAGATAAAAAGAAATGTTTATAAAATTCAATTTTCTGCGCATACATTTCGTCGGAAGGAGTTCCTTTTTTGCCTAAAATATCCTTTCTTTGTCAAAAATAAATGTGGAAAATAATATATATATATATAACTTTGTCAAGTATATTACTGGGTAACCAAGTGCGAAATATTCTAATTTTTAAAGCAGGGTAGAATTTGGCGGAAAAATAAATAAATTTATGAATTTCGAAAAACCGTTGGATGAGGAAGCATTATATGATGTGAAAAATCTTCAAGTAGCGAATATGATTACCGTAATTTTTTTCTTTCCTCTTGGAAGAGTGGTGTCGTAAAACAAAACAAAAAAAGGCTCAAAATACAAATTTAAAAATTAACTCACAAGTAATTACTCCGCTAATTTAGATAATCACATTACTGGTGTCAATATTTTAACCGTTGGAAATCACGTATGTGCTTCCAAATCCTCGTCCTGCCTGCACTCGGTTATATATTGGCAGATGAGCTTTCTTTTCTTGCTGAGGTTTTATGCAAATCATTCGAATAGATTTTGAATTTCTCACACTCCGAAAGGAGCAATTAATTAGAAGATGGCAGCCTTTAATAATAATGCTGCGGTTCTCTTTTGTGGTGTTGCTGGATGTCATTTTGTTCCACACATCAAATCAAATTGAGCGACACCTATGAGATTAAATTAACTTTTAACAGCGTTACGCGCAGAATAATACCTAGATGTCGCTAAATGTTTCGCATGCTGCAACATGTGCATAATATCTTCCATCACATTTATCCATTTGCTTCTTACGATTTCGTACCATGGACCATATTTACTGACTCGTGTCAAATTATTGTCTTTTTTCAATTCTTCTGAAGCTCAAAAATCCTCAAGTTCAATATTGCTAGTTTCAGGATATATATATTTGGGGAAAGTAAACCAGTAAGCTCAACAAAATGTCTGAAAACAACAAACCGAGCCCCGGTTGAAAGAAAAGAGCTCTTATTTTCATCATGTTGGAGAATATTTTGGAAATGACTTATTATCACGGCGGAATGGATTCAAAGGGTGGAAACAAAATCTCTCAGGAGGATGCAAGGAAAGCTGGTTTTCAGAAGCTATATATATATATATATATAGAATAATCTTGCTTATTCTCTGCAATTTTCCCGAATTGTCAAATTCTTAGCTCAAAATGACTCTGTCCATGCTGTCCATGCGAGTTTCATCATGCTTTCACCTAAATTAATTTGAAGAACTGCAATATATGTAGGGTAAAAAAAAAGAAGAATTCTTATATAGCCATACTTGGAAACAATTTATCAGCCCGTGTTCATTCAATTTGTCAAGTCTTACCAAAAAATATTTTATGAAATTCAATAATTGAATTAAGTTCTGGGGGTTCTTGAATGATAAGATTTCCCTCTGATCCTTTTTTCAATTTTTAATACATTGGACCATTTTGATCTTGAAATTCCAATACCTAAAAATTTTTAAAAACTGATTTAATCCTATGGTGGTCTAGCATTTTATGGTTTAGTCAATTCTTATTCAAAAAATGATAATTAGATTGATTCTTGAATAAAATAATAAAAAATCCTTAAAGAAAAAAATAAAAAATGCTTCAAAAAATAAATTCTTGAATGAAAAATGAAAAATAAATATCTTGAACGAAAAAGAAAAATCTTTTAATAAATCAAATAAATTCTTATTCAAAAATATAGTCTCAAATTGAATTAGTTCTTCTCTAAAATCCCTTGGAGAAATACTGTGTTTTTTTTTCTTTCTGAATATGTCTGATGATTTTTCACTCCATGATCTGGTTTTGTTTACAGTTTCTAACAAAGTGTTTGAAAAAATCGTCAGCTTACTCTTTGGTGCTTAACGAGTCAAATATCCGAGTGAAAAACGGGAAAAAAAAACAAATTTATGTGCCTGTTGATTTCCCCCCGAGTGTTTTAGGTTTCAAGAATTGAGCGAAAATGAAGGAAGAACCTACATATGTTACCTCAAGGAAGAGAGAACCGGTTGTGTAAAAAAAAAAATATGTTTCGGAAAAGTTTTGCGTCGTCAGAAATGGCTTCTGATCGTCAGCAATTTTTTTTTTAAAGAAATATGTACAGTGGTTGTTTTACTGTAAAGAAATTCGAGGATTGTGATACATCACTAAGTGGAAAAATGAATTCCGCGGGGATTTCGTTCGGAAACCGTTTTTTTTTTTTTAGAAAGTTGAATAAACTTGGCTTTATTTAGCATTTACCTCTCTTGTTGAAAACGAAGAAAAACATGTGGATGTACGTATTTTTACTGAGTGTTAATTTATGGGATTCTTATAATAACGAGTCGCTGCTGTTTTTTTGGACTATAGGTGTTGTTTTTTCTGGAAGACTCGTGTTGTGAATTTGTGGGTAACACTAATTGATGTGATTGACTCTTCCCCCCTCGGACCCGGAATTCATTTGGCATTCTGTGAATGTTCGGCTGCTTATTGAAATCAATTTTATTGGGGAGAAAAGCAGTTTGTTGGGAATATTTTCGAGGCGGTGGATGATTTTTAGGGGACATTCCGAATTTTTTTGATGCTGTTGAGAAGCTCAGGAAGCTTTAAGAAAAAAATTGGTCGGGACAGCTGAGAATTTTGGAATTTTATTTTGAACTCTTCGGCTTTTCAGTTTGCTATAGAGAAGATTACACTTTTAAAACATACCTGTGCCATTATCTTTTCCTCAGTCTTTTTTTTTGTGCTAATGTTGAGTGTCGAAAAATTCCGGTGTGAGGTGGAAGTTTTTTCTAATTCGTCGTCGTCTTCTCGGGATTTGATCGTCGTGATTTTTTTTCGATGAGGAATGCGAGAGGTTTTGCGACGGAAGATTTATTGTGGGGCGGGGGTTGAAAAACGTTGTTGTTGATGTTTCCAAAATTTTAAAGAATTCCAAAAACAAAAACAAACAAAAAAGCTTGGGCAAACAAAAAAAGCCTCGGTGTAATTTTTCGATGTATTGTTCGTCGTTTTTTTCTCGCTGTGAAAAAAAAAAGAAAAAGTTCGGTGTCACCCGCTTCTCACATGCCGCAATTTTTTTCCTTGTCCGTGTGTGGTTTTTTTTTTTATATTTATCCCCCGATCGGTCGAAACGGGAAAAAACTTTCGGGAGCCAAAAAAAGGAAAAAAAAAGAGTTCGAAACCGGTTTTGGCGTGGAATTTATTATTTGGCTAAAACATCGCGCGAATTTTATGGTTATTTTTCGCTTGAATGTCCAACTTGTTTTCATACTTTGTTTGGCAACACTGGGGTTATATTCAGGAACAACCGTTTTCATAAGAGTGAGTTTCGCAATTTAAACATTAAAAAATGCTGAACACAAAATTGTTCATCCTGAATCTGAAAATGGCTGAACGAATTTATCCAAAATTTTGCAATTAAATTATGTATGATTGAAATTGCATTAAGAAATAAATCAGCAAAAATTTCAGTGGAATAGGAGATCAATTTTAATTCGCATCGCCCATAAAATTAATGAGTTGATTGGAAGAACATTCAATTTTTTCAATTAATTCAAATTAAACAATATTTTTGAATCATTTACTAATAAAAGAGAGTGAACCAAGAGCATATCTTTCTTCAAAACGATATGATTCAAAGAAAAAAAACGCGAACAGCAAATTTTTTCGATGAATTTTTTCTCTCCAGGAAAGTCAGACATTCAAGAAAAAAATAACAGAATTTATCATTTTTTTCCTTTCTGGACGAAATACAGTTCAAAATATTTCTTTTTTTCAGATCCCATTGTAATGTCGACGGATGGCATTGGCAGAATTGATGGTGCAGTCCAATTCGCAACAGATCATTTTGGCAACTTGTTCCGGTGGTGGGCAAGAAAATATGCAACGGATGTTGTCATGAAAAGCACATTCTTTAGCCAAACACGTTATGGCTTTAATGTACTTGTGAACTTCTCCATCAGTGTTCCAGTCTGTGATGATTGTTCTGATGATCTCTCTGGTAGCTCTCCCAAAATCCTGAAGAAAAAGCTTTCAAAATTACTGTATTTCATTGAAAGAAGGGTGAAACTTTGAGCATCAGTGCTTTGAAAGATTGAATCATTGTTCTTTAGTTTAGTGCTTCAAACAATATAAAACAAGCTCCAATTATATGTTTAAAAGTTGAAGATGAAAAATACAATTTCAGCAGCTATTTTGGGACTCAACCAACATCACATAGGAAGTTGTTTATCTAGAATTTTTTCCAGAGAACCCATTATCATGGGGAGAGAACCATGTACAGGACCCTAAAAAAAGTGTTGTGCTGAGAATAATGTTGAAGGGAGTCCACCTGTATACTGTAAATACATCTTACTGTAGTTCATAAAGAAAATACTGCACCATCAAACTTTGACATCAGCAAAATTTCTTTCACTTGACATTTCCTTGGATGCATTGAAGTGAAAAAATTGCTCAGCATTCTCAATCGCTCCAATTAAAACTGCAGCATGTAACATTTTCTGTCATATTCTTCCTGTATTTATATATATATATATATATATATATATATGCAGAATACAAATGTGCACCTTTATGAGTTTCTGCCAAAGCTGGTATTCACTTGAAAGTGCATCACCATCCACAGTCAACTGTGTGATTTCTTCAATGATTTCCAGGTATTCTGAACAGGCGCATTTCCCTACCAACTCTGGGCGGATGAATTTCTCCTCCTTCTCTTTGAAAATGAGTGCTTCATATTCATCCTTGGCAAGACTAATCAGGAGATTGGCCTGCTTCACTTCAGAGCTTGCTTTCCCCAGTTTCTCCAACAATTCCCTCCTTTGTATAATTGCCAATCTAATTCATGAGATGAACAGTAGTGTTCAGTATATAGAAAATTGTGATATAATAAATTTTTCATTGTAAATAATTTTTTCTAGGTCCCAACAGCTGTTCCTCCAGATGACACCATGATTTGTATGTCTAGTTTTAAATAACTCTATCTGGACTCTGTAACCCCAGTATAATGCATTTTTTTGTCTTGATTCTGTGCATATATAGGCCAGAAGGATTATTTGCTAAATGGCAGAAAAAAACGAGAAAATTAAACTGCTGGTAGAATATTACAACTTCATCAAAGAGGCAAAACTTTCTGTAAAGAACATTTTGTGTTCAAAAAACGCCACACATGACAGCATATTTCTTGGAAATTATTTTGCTGATCCATTTAAGAATGCTGTATATGCCTTTCTTTAATAAAACAGTTGGTTAGGAAGAATTTTCATCCGTTTCTAAGTACAGGTTTGAATGAATAATAAACTGATGAAAAAATGTTACTGCATATTATGTACAGCATATAATTACATATGTGATTTTAATTCCTTGAAGTGGAAAAGGTATGTCCATGTCTCACTTATAATCATCCCTAATTAGGATATCGCCGATTTCTCGATTGTAGCAGTCGAGTTCAGCGAGCATCACGCAAATGTCTTGTCTTAACCCGTCTCGCTGAATGATCAAAGTGGGTTCTCCAGATTTTACTGTTTTCTCCTGTCTTTGAAAGCAGTCAGCATCTATTTGGTCCCAGGTTCTCTTCAAGTCGTTCAAGTCACGAAATTCGCGCCTGTAGAAATCCAACGCTTCTTCCTCGAATTCAGTTCCATATTTGTACATTGTTGGGCTTAAGTCTTTAATTGCCTGCGGAAAAAGGAAAGTCAACACGGAATTTCCATTTTTAAGCGTTCATGCGGTAACAAATGATGTGACGACGTGGTATCGTTGAAAAGGCATCCACCAAATGTTAAGGTGGAAAAGTTGTCTATGTGAGAAGTAACAGGTCAATGCTTGAAAGACATACGTTTGCTGGTACAATGTGTATAATCAAAGACACTGGTAGGAAAAAACAAAAATCCATGGTAAAAAACCATTATTCCTGCTTATTTTGATATTTGTAGGGACGAATGTGCTTCATATATCTCAAAGTAAGTCAAATATTGAGAACAAATCCTTGTAAAAGTTTGGACGTTTCCTGAATGATACATCAATCAGGTTCCGTGAACTTCGCCTCCATAATGGCGGAAATCGTCGGCTCAGTTACGTTACCCGTGTTGTAGCTATCAATGATTCCAGACGCGTTTATCGTTCGAGTTCGACTAGCTATTCAAAATCAATTCGGAGGGTTATAGTTGCGCGTGACAATGAGAGGTGTTTCTGGACTTCAGTTATCCTGGAGTACTGTGAACTTATACCTTCAGTCTAGCCGACTCGCGAGTTAATCCGCATATTCCATCCGCGACGTCAGCTCGCGGGAACGAACGTAAGAATCCCGGTGGTCCCGGAACTCTGCTGAAGTGTTTCCGGTTCCGTAAGCTCGCAGCGGCTTCTCGTTTTGATCCGGCGATTGCATCGAGGTATGGCTTGGCGGTGGAAAGGTCGATATTCGCTGCATCGCACAAGCTAACTGGGTGTCCATCTCCATCAGCTTCGCGAATGAGTGAAACGGTCGCGGTTTGCGTTTCGAGATACAAAGGCGGTCGCGAATAGAGCTGCCCTTCGTCAGTGCATTCTTCTCCGACTTCTTCGCTTGCTTCTTCCCCTGCGGTCGAGTTGGTGTTCGTATTACCAGTCTGGATTTCCGCACTCACCGGTTCGTCTGGGTAACATCTCGCCCAGTCAGCCATTATATTTTTTACGATTATAATGTATTCTTGGAGTACATTTACTCATGGAAATTACGTTATCTTGCGTTAATATTGAATGAAGTTGAGTAAGGGCATAACAGATTAATTACCGTTTTGACGAGGGAAGAAATCGTAACTCTATCTATACTCACATGTCCAGTTCCAGTCCTTAATTCCAAATATCAACGTCGTTACAAGTATTAGAACGATCTTCGTGATACGTGCGTGATACCTTCGAGGGATTTTCCGGAATAGCTCTGAAGACAGTGATACGTGCGTGATACTTTCGAGGGGTTTTGCGGAATAGCTCTGAAGACCTTGTTTACTTTTCCAGGTTTCAGTGAATAAACTAGGGCGTGAACGTCGGTCGGAAAATGACTTGCAAGCGCAGAAATCACGGGCGTTCTAAGCACGGTCGAGGACACGTCGTGGCCATTCGTTGCACCAACTGTGCCCGATGCGTTCCCAAGGATAAGGCCATCAAGAAGTTTGTCATCCGAAACATCGTCGAAGCCGCAGCAACCCGGGACATCTTGGACGCCTCCGTGTACCAGCCGTATACTCTCCCCAAGCTGTATGCCAAGCTGCACTACTGTGTTTCCTGCGCTATCCACTCCAAGGTGGTTCGTAATCGGTCGCGAGAAGCCCGCAAGGACCGCAACCCGCCGCCCAGGTTCCCGAACCGCCCGGATAACCGTCAAGGAGGCCCTCCTGGAGCTGGTGGACCCGGCAATGCTGGTGGTGCCGGTGCGCGCAAGCCTTGAGTTTTCTGAGAACGCGTACTTGTCTCCAGATGGATGAAGGAATACAAGCTTCAGTCTGATCTTGAAGTCCTTATTCATTACTCTTCGTTAAGTCATGTTATTGAGATAATCCTTCAATTTTAAGATGTTCGAGCGGTTTTTCGGAAGTTCTGGTCTGGTGCCATTTTTCAGGAAGAAGCTCTCATCTTTTCCGTATTCTTTCGTGATTCTGAAGTACATGTGTATCTGGTACAAGACGTAATCTAAGAGATTGAGTCGGACGACTGAGTAATGTAAGGCCACGTTAAGTCGACGAAACTTTTCAGATCAACAAGTCCATCGATTGAATGCTGAACTGCGTAAAGCTACTACAGTTGCAACGCTGAGGTAAATTCAGTGGCAACAGCAAAACAATTTGAGGTAGGGAAACAAGCTTTTGTCGGGAGAACAGAAGAATGATTTTCTTGGCCTTGAATTGCCTTATAAATGAGTTGAAATGTTACTGATCTTTGCGGCAAGTGTTCATTTGTCCAGTCAGTCCTTCACCTCCCTTCAAAACATGTCAATTCACAGTTCTATTCCTTTTATTTTTCTTGTGTCAATGAAGTAATACCCAAAAGTTTTCCAGAAAATTTGAGCTATAGAGCTTTGAAGATGAAGCCCATGAGTTATGTAAGTTTTTAATGCTTTCTTCTGAGAGAATTCAGGCAGGGGTTGAAAGGGTGTGTAACAGGGAGGTATTTGACTCAGAAGTTTTATGTTGGTGAGGCTCAACTGTGATTGGTGATTCCATTTTTATTTCCCCTTGATATTTTGAACTATTGTTCAAAAAATCATGGGGAGAAAAATCCTCACAGATTCATCCATTAAATGGGATTCTTAGGATCATTTATCCTTGGTACAGTAGTTTGAGAAATAAACAATTTTATCCTTTTAACAAGGATAATCAATAAGCACTGTAGTAGACAATCAAAATTACTGTACACTGCAATGGGAGCATTCCAAGCAGTTATTCTCCATGACAGGTCATTCCCTAAATACTTGGGTGACCCCAGCATAATGATGAAGCTTGAATATGTTCGTTATTCACTAACTAAAAGGATGCACTTCTTATTGGACATTGATCTCATCAATAATTTATACTTCAGCATTCAAAGGTACAGTAGTTGCTCTGCTCTTCATGTTACTGATTCAGAGTGGTTATTCTATGAAGATAACTCAGTGTACGGTGGATAGTCTCTGACGCAGCTTGCATCTGGGCGAAGTTGCTTCTTGGCTGCTATCTTCTATCAGTGGCGTTTTCAACACTGGCAGGCTGCAGTCCTCAGTTTTATCAAAGATGTCAGAGGATACAGGGACTGACGCCAAGTAAGTTGTGTAATCGTAGGCATTCATGCAAGAAGCCTTGTCCAAGTTTCGCAGTGATTCGAGGATGATTTTACGTTTGTGTTGCCTGCCAGCTGGTATGTCAGTGCTCATCCTGGAAAATCACCAAATGTTTGAGCTATAATCCAAGCATCATGCATGCATTTTGAGGTTTAATTAAACATTCCCAGATTTTGGAACACTGAACATGAGAAAATGGCATGTGCAATTTCAATTGTGTAAACTCTGTTTCCCTGACTTAAAGTTTGGATGAATGTTTGCTTCACTGTTCTATTCTGGGTCAACTTATCTCTAGGGTTTAATAAAATGTTTCATGTTTGCGCTATTGATCATTCACATAATGAACTCCAACCTGCTGAAGAAAACTGAAAATAACTTAATTTGGCCATTGCAGAAAAATGCTATCTGGTTGGTTGAAGACTTGAATTCATGCCTTTGTAATCCTGCATAATCAGAGTTGTGTTTCCAAAAATGGAAAGATGAATGATCACAATGTGAAAACCCTTGATGAAGATTTGGATGCCCATCTCAAGGTTTTGAATGAACTTACATCTGGTTGCATGATGCTGCCTTGTGAATGATACATTTTTCTCCAGACGCTGAAATGAAATAAGTGATGGTTTCTGAAGAGAAAATCTGATCATTCACATATGGTGAAGCATTATGACCTAACCTCTGCAATACTTGTAGCTCCTGGAGATTGTGGAACCTAGTTTATTGGCCATTTTGATGAAACTGTCACATTCTGTCAAAGTCTGGATAATGCTAAATAAAATGCCTATCTTTTTTAAGGGAGAGTCTTGTTCTTGAGAAAAAAGTTTCTTAACCATGCATGCTGAGCTCCACAAAGTAGATCTTCAAAAGGTTCATTGGCTTTTCTCAACAAAGCCTTCCATGCTTACTTGAAGTTTATTCCCATTGGGAGAGGTGCGTGGATGAAATAATTACTGGTAGACATCACATCACAATCTTTGGACTGGTCTACAGATACAGCAGGTGCATCAGCTTTGTTTCAGGAAGTTAGTTTGCATATTCCAGTCATTTAATGTGATACTTTTTTTAAATTAGTCGTGATGCATGTTATGTGAAGTATTTCATGATGCAATCTTTCACTGCGGCTGTTGTGGAATTCATAAAATAAAAAATTGTACCATGCATATACTGTACTGGGAACATTTATTCCCAAAAATGGTTTCTATGCAGCCAAATGGCGGAATTTGTTCACGGTTATATTGTCATAGAAGTTGCCTTCTGGACAAAAGCCATACAGCACTATGTGGCGGCATCATAACGGAAAAATATTTCCGGGTTCTGGTGAATGTTGGCATTTCCTGTTGATTCCATGAGGCAATTTCTTGGAATCAGTGTCGGCATGGGCAAACTGAACAGCCACCTGTTGGTGAGTCGGTCGTCCAGTTCGCCTTCCGCAGTTCAGGCTTGACCTCGCCCCGGGCTTTAGGGGAATATGAACATTGATGATTAGTCTCTAACTGAAGGCGAAATACCTTGTTCATTTTTGTTGAATTAATTTTTCATCATTGGAAATCCCTTCATGTACGAATTTAGAGAAATTATGAATGGAAACGGAGTTTTCTTGAAAATTTTTTCTTGAAGAATCCCCTAAAATCACATTTCGTCAGCTCAGCACTTCCTGGAACAGTGACCACTCCTTGAATGACCCAATGCCAACGGCTTATGGTGCTTTGGAGAATGACTTACTCTCAGTCGTGACGAAGTCCTGGCAGCTTCAAGGTGAGCCGTAGTCGATGTCCGTGAATGTTCCGGGGTTTGCGGATGTTGGAATTACTGTACTGTACTGTACTTCTCCAAGAACTGCGTATACTTTATTCGTTAAGCTGCCCATCTCTTCCAATTTTACCCTATATGATGATACTGACCCACTTAATTTTGCAGAGTTGTCATCGGTGTACCTCGCGTTGTTACGACGATCGTTGACATGAGTGTTGTTCAGGATGCGTAGTGTTACTCGGTCATCAGTGTGTTATCCATCTGGGCCAGTTGGCCGACACGTTTTGCAACCGTGGTGACACGATGCGCGTTTTTATAGCTCTCTTTTGCCTGACTGGCGTAAAAGTAAGTTTCTTGTTCCGCGAGCATCTCTTGTTGAATATCGTTGTGATTCTGTCCGATCCTGCAGTTCGTGTCCACGGCTGACGTTGTGATTCAAATACCCTGGGATGTCGGGATCCAAGATGGATTTTACCGTCTATCTTACTCTCCTCCGCAAGGGAAACCCGCATCAAATACGACGTTTAGACCGCAAGACATCGCGAAAGGAATTGAACTGACAGATGCTTTACCGGGTACGGAGTACAACTTCTCGCTGCATTATTCGAATGCGACAATAGTAGACTGGCTAGCTTGGACTGCGTCGATCACTACTGTGCCAGATCCGCCATCAAACGTTTCCATTGGTGTAAGATCAGGGAGAATATCCTTGGTCTCGTGGAATCCTCCTGCCCTGGGTGGATATTCTGCCTTCAAATTAAAGGTACGCGTGACACTCAGTTTNTCAAGTTATTACGATCATTCACATGATTATTTAGTTACTCGTACAGTATTTACTGAAGGCACGCTCTCGAAATTTTCATCCTTAAATTTGGATAAAAAATGTATCCCCCGAGTAAGATATGCGTTCTATTTTCGAAATATTTTAATTTTCAATACTGTGTCTAAAAATTGGGCGCATCATGATTCACATTTTCATGTTGAATTGTAGTCTAGTTGAATATGCATTTATCATTTTACTTTTTTAAATTTTCTGTAGAAATTGGTTAAAAATTCCCTGTTGGAATCAAGTATGAGGTGCACCTAAACTTTGAAATGTTATATCCGCCTCTGACACGAACCCACTTCTTTTTTCTTGATTTCGGAAAAAGGTACTCAAGTAAATACGGTGAGCACCATAATTTGAATAAAAAAATATATATATAAACCCGGCAAAAACTTGGGTGTGCTTCATATCTGGGTTACAATTTTGGGTAAGTTCTACGCCAAGAATTGAGGTGTCTGTGTAAAAAAAAAGATAAAAAGGGAGCACTTCTGCTCATGGTTCGCTTGCAAAAATTGAGGGTGTCTCTTTTAGTTTATGGATTATTTTTTCACTTGGGGATTAAATATCTTACCCATTCTATTGATCGTAAACTCGTCATCTTGATGTGATGTTGCCATTTGAAAAATGTTCGCGAGTTTTTCTTAACTGTGTTTATTAGTGTCTCTGACGTATGATTAAGGCGGTGGCAGTGAGTCTCAAATTCCACAAAAACATTCGCTGCTTTTTTTGATGGCCCTGAAAAGAAGTCTGCATCTTGAAATTAATGTTGTCTCATAACTCGAGTTACGTGATGTATGAAAAGAGTTCTCTGGAAAGATGGTTCACGGTAGATTAATCTGGCCTAGTTTGACACGCCCTTCTGAACTCAAGTGTGATATAGCGAACGTAAATAAT